AGGCCCAGCCAGGCCGATTCAAACCTGCTCCAGTTACAGAAAGTGGAAGGTGAGGATCCACGGAGAACCAGTATGCCCATTCATCCAGGGCAGGTGTTTCTCACACCAGCAATGGTAATGGACTAGAAAGAAGACAGACGTCCTTGCCTCCTTGAGCTCACAGCCATCTGGTCCGGGAGACGGGCATTAGGTCAATGACACTTAAATGAGGACTTATGTTTAATTTTGATAAGCTCAATGATGAGGAAGTCCTGGATTCCATGAAAGCAAGAGCCAGGATCTTGGCTCAGGGAAGGCTTCTTGGAAGAAGGGCCTTTTGAAGGGCAAGGGGGCATTCACTAGAATGGGATAGGGGACTATGGGAGCTGTTGGATTCCAGAGGGTTGGTCAAGACCTGGCTGGGCGAGCCAGATGCCCTTGGGGCATGGCACAGGGAGCTGGGGAGCTAAGGGGAGTGGAGGAGGTGAGGCGGGGATGTGGGGCGTGGGGCCTTGGGGGCCGGGTAACAACGTGTTTAAACTAAAAAGTTGAAAGCAGCTGAGTACACGGTGCTGTCTGCATTTTAGGAGACTCACTGCTGGCTTTGAAGAAGGTGTAAGGACAGAGCCCAGAGAGGGACATACCCTGGCAGGGGACGCTGGAATAGGGTAAGCAACTCTTTCAGGTTTTCCCTGCCTCGTCTTCCTTTTAAAACTGAAAATCCAAGTCCTAGGAACCCCGTCAGTCCTGGGCAACACCCAGATGGTTAGGTGGCCCTTGGTGGTAGGGACCGTGGAGATGAGGGGAGGTGAGAATCTCGGTGTGGAAATGTATTGCTGACTTTGTCCTGGAGCCAATATGTCACTGTAGACTCCAGTGGCCCTTCCCTTGCCCCCTAAGTGGGGTTGGTCATTGGGGGCCAGGGGCCCAGCCGGCTCCAGCTGGAACCTTACCCCCTTCCCGGCTCAGTGAGCACGAAACATGGCCCCTCCTTCCTGGGACAGGTCACTCCTCCCTCCCCAGCCCCACTCCCACCCTCTGTGCCAGGGGGAGCCAGGCCCAGGCTGCCTGGAATCCCGGCCTCCCCCGCCTGGCTGGGAACAGAAAGAAGGAGGAGAGAAATGAGTCACGGCAGCCGCTGCCCCCACTCACATCCACAGCTCACCCAGAAAGCGTTACCCAAAGCGTCGGAGCACCATACATCCGGGTGCACACACACCTGCTGGCACTCACACACATATGTTTAGCACAGATGCGTTCAGTGAGCCCAGACACCCACAGATACTGGCAGATGCATAGGCGCTTTACGTGGCCTCACTCACACATACACAACGAACACGTCCAGACACCAAGACTCTCAAATGGTGAGAAAGACACACATAACCCGTTTCCAGAGTTCGTTTTCATCTGTGTGCCGAGATCCATCTCGTCACTGTAAGTTCCCACCCCTAAGACCCAGGCCTCCACCCCAGTCTGTATGCTTTGCTAGGAGTGACCTCAGACTATGCTTTGTCCTCAGACAGTTGTCTGGATTCAGGGTTGAAGTAGAACCCAGAGTATCTCACCACAGGCTCCCAACTGCCCTGGACCCAGCCTCCTCCCAGACCTCTCCCCAGCTGCCTGTTCCTTGCAGCGTCCAGGCAGTCGCCCCAATGCCCTCACCTTGGAGCATGGGTAGGACAGAGACAGGGCCATACTCTGGAGGGAACTAGCATGTCCTCAGTGCCTGCACTGCCCCCCACTTCCCACTGGGCCCCTGAGGGTACAGTTACATTACAGTTTGAACAAGGCCACCAGGGTCTCTGTGCTGGAGCTTTGAGGGCTACACAGAGGGGAGGGGACCCACATTACAACCGGAACCAGGGGTGTTCATACTCTAGAACCATCAGATGAACCAACAGTGTCTACAGTACAGCCTGACACAAGTCTGGAGTTGAGTAGATGCTAGAAATACTGTCTAGATATGTCTTCGTGAAAGCCAGATGGAGCATATCTGCATATCTGTCTCGACCCCTGGTACCAAACGGAACTCTAGGAGGGACTGAACTAACATTTGTCCGGTGTCTGTTATGTCCCAGGCACCACGCCAGCGCTTCCATGTTCATAGCCTCATCCAGAGCTGCCAGGTAGCGTCAAGTCTGTGACAAGACCCAGAGTGGCTGTGCCCTAGAGGTGCCAGGATGTCCAGGGGAAGTGGGGCGTGTCTACACTAAAGTCAAAGCCGAATTCATGATTTCACACTGAGGCACCGATGGGACCCACATTACAGACCTCCTCCAGGGATAGCCGGGGGCCATTACCTGCATAGCCAAGGGGGCAGTGGCACTCGTAGTGATCGGCCAGGTTGCGGCAGGTGGCCCCGTGGTGGCAGGGCCGGGACGCACACTCGTCGATGTCCAGCTCACAGTGCGGGCCTTGGAACCCGGGCACACAATAGCAGCGGAAGTCACTGGGCCCTGGACCCTGGGGCACACACAGAGCACCATGGTGGCAGGGCTGGGTGGCACAGCCATGGGGCTCCATGGGCCCACAGGTATAGCCGCCGCTCTCCGTGGCCTGGCATTTGGTCCCTGGAGCGCATGGGTCTGAGGCACAGGCACTCGAAGTCTCCACAGGCACGGTTCCTGTAGAGAGAGGCGACTGGCTGGGCAGGGTAGACGGGGGACACAGAGACACTCCCCTCCCCACACTCACCCATCCCAGACCCTGGAGTCAGAAAGCAGCAGGAGTCTGTCCAACTCAGGGGGAGCAGGGGAAGGCCGGGGGCTCTACCAGCCAGGTCCCAACAGGCTGCACACGTCCGCACCCGGAACGAGGACCGGTTTCAGGACTCCACCACGCAGAGAAATAGGACCCGGGGTGCCTGGCTCTGGCCCAGGATTATTGAGCAGACACCCTGTGAGCTCTACACGTCTCGTAGCACCCCTGCAGTGCCACTTTGGGCAGCTTCTGTCATGCTCATTTTACAAGAGGGTAGATCTCAGGCTCAGGACAGAAAGCGAGGACTTGCCCGAGGCCACACAGCAAGTTAGTGCTGGGACTGTCTTTCGGCTCTACCCTGCGGCCTGCTCCTTCCCATAAGGCCCAGGATGGAGGCTCCTCCCCCTTCCCCCTCCTCCGCTCCTGCTGGGGGTCTGGTAACTCCATTCATGCATGAAATCAGAGATGGAGGACTTCAAAGGTCCTTCTTACCCCACCCCACCCCCAGCCCCTCCTCCCTGCTCTGCCTGGCTGGCCTGGGAACTTCTCACAGAATCCCTGGCCCTCACTGTGCCCCCATCAGCAAATGCCTGAGCAGCCGGCCTGGCCAAGGTCACAGGGTACAGGGCAGGTACTGAGACCTGCTGACCAGACACCTGGCTCTGGCCACTGTGCTGCCTGCACGGAGCTGAGATCCCTCTGTTAGAGGGTCACCTCCTGATCTGGAAGCCAAGCTACGTAGAGAGCCAGCCTCCCTCCCTCCCTCCAGCCTGTCTGTGTAATGCTGGGGTAAGAACTCGGGGCTTTAGAGTAAAACAGCCCTTGGCTCGGATCCCCAGCTCAGTCACTAGCCCTGAGGCCTTGGGAAGATCATTTCTGCTGAGCTCCATTTCCCAGTCTGAAAAGGGGATGCTAATAGTCCTCACCTCTTAGGATGTGTTAGGATTCAAAGCCTCACTCAGGTAGTGTTGTCAAGTGCCCTCTTGTAGGAACTCAGTAAGTGATGGGGGATAGGAAGCCCCCCACAAGCAGGAGGCACCCTCCGCCTGGGGCTCTGAGAGGTGCCCCCTTCCCCTCAGGTTGTCATCCAGACACTAACCAGGCCCTGCATCTCCCCTCCCCCCTCCTAGTGAAGACCCCCAGATAAGGCTCTGCAGCCTTTCAGGCGTCATCCACATTCCACCAAGCAGGGCTATCCACTGGCCGACCCCCACGCTTCCCAGCCAGGGCCGAGCAGGATAGGGGACAGGGAGATGGAGATACTGACCAGTGGACCCAGGGGAGAACTAGAATGTTAGCCCCACCCCGGAGCACGTTGAGCACCTGGTACAGCTCAACGCAGGCTCACTCACTCCCTGACAGGGCCCCTAGCGCCCACCCAGGGTCAGGCATGAGACTGAAACACCATCAGGCCAAGATGACCTTCTAGGGCTCTGGGGTCTACAGACCTTCTCTCTCCAGCATTCCCCTCCCTAGCTCAGCACATTTCTCCCCAGCCCCTCCCCCACCACTGGTCATAGGGCAGGGAGCATCTGGGCCTCTCTGAGGGGCTTATGATGGCCCATCTTCTTTTTCCCACTCCAAGCCTCTGTGGCTGATCAGCTTAGAGCTGGGTCCCCCAGGGCTAGATGCTCTGACCGGGGTGGGAAGATGGTCTGATGGGGATGGGAGTGGACCTAGCTTCCTTGAACAAGGACACAGGTTTGGGCATCACATACACCCAATTTGTAACTGGGGTATAAATGGTGCCCACCTCATAGGGTGTCGTAAGGAGCCACCGAGGTAACGTGAGTGAAGCCCTGGCACCCAGTGGACCCTCAGTGAGGACTCTGGCCATTATGATCAGAGTCCCTCCACCTAGCCTGGCTTACGAGGAGGAACGTGGTAATCATAGCTCCCATAGCCCTGGCTGCTGGGTCCTGTGCCAACCCTCATCTGTGTGCCCAAGGTGCCCCGCCCCAGTCTGGAGCTTTGCCTCAGTCAGAGCCCTCCATTTCAGAGCGGAAGGCAGGTACTTCATTGCCGTAGTGCCCAAGGTGCCCCGCCCCAGTCTGGAGCTTTGCTCCCAGTCAGAGCCCTCCATTTCAGAGTGGATGGCAGTAGGCTGAGGAGACAGTGCCTGGGGGGAGCAGGGAAGGTACTTCATTGCCTTCGGAGCAGGTGGGCCTCAACCCCAAATGATGGAGCCCAGGAGACAGAGTGTAGCCCCCCAGGAGGAAGAGTTCCTCCAGTCAGAGCCAGGGGTAGAAGGAGGGAGCTGCCTGTCCCAGGAGGCATGCAACAGCACCAGAAGCCCACATGTGAGGGACAGTCAGCTCTCCTATGCAATCTCAGTTAATCTTCATATTCGCCTGAGGAGGTGGATACTACCATTATGCCTGTTTCACGGTTGAGGAAAGAGAGGCTCGGAGATGAAGCACAGCCCCACAGCTTCTGAGGGCTGGAATTCAGACCTTGGCCTCTGCTGCAGAGACACCCAGGGGCCTGTATTAAGAATACCCATTCCTGGGCCCCAGGCCAGACCTAGAGATTCAGAACCGCTGGGCCTGGGGCCAGAGAATCTGCATTGCGACATGCTCCCCAGGGACTCCTTTGCACGTTGAGGCTTGAGAACTGCTAACCTTGGGTTCTCTCTCCCAGGAGCAAGCCCAGGAGGCCAGGGCAGCCCAGGGCTGAGTGGAGAGGTGAGGGTGGCCGGCAGAGGAGGGGTTGTTTCCTGGGCCAGGCTGGAGGGGCGTGGCCTGTTGCCAGGGTGATGAGGGGCCTGTGCTTATCTTTACAAATCCCTCCTGACCTCTCCGGCTGCCCGGGAAGACCTGGCAGGGGAGGGATTAACTGACATCCGCCCCTCCCCTCCGACCTGACGCCCTAGGAAGGCCCGGAACCCCGGGGAAGGGAAATCTCTCCCAGAAGGACCGGCTACAGTAACAGCGGCCGTTACTGGGCGCGTGCCGTGTGCTCCGGGCCGTCCTACACACCTTGCAAACGTTATTACATTATTATATTGATTCAGACTGGAAGAGGTGGATGCCGTTAAGAAAACTGTGTTTCTAACTCGGGCCATAAACTTGCCCAGGGGCATCCCGCAAAAAAAAAGAAAGAACGAACGCGGGTCCACACCTCCCAGTGCCTGTGAAATTCCCACTCTGCCAACTCCGAATCGCCACCCACGTACTGTCATTGCAGTGCGTTCCAGCCCAGCCTCACCCAAGCACTGGAAAGAGTCTCTAAGGGCTTGGGCTTGCCCAAGAAGAACAGAGGTTCCAGGGTCCGCCTAGGCAGAGCGCGCAATCTTTCCCGTCTATCCAGAAGCTGTCGGCGATCCCACGGGGCCTCGGGCCTCGCTCGGGGCTTAGTAACTCCTACTTGCAAGCACTTGTAACGGGCCGAGTGCTAACTGCCAACGACCAATGGGAAGTGTTCACTGAGGGTGGATTTTGAGAAGCTTCTTGTCTTAAGGCAAAAGAGAATATTTCTAAGAAGCAGCCCAAGATCTCGGAAGATGTGGGGGCTATGAATAAGGGGAAAACACTGTTCACCTAAAATAGGCCGGAACTGCCCTCCCCCCATCCCCCACCCCAAAGGTAGGGCTGAGTAGCGCCGGACAACACGACAGCGTTTATAGCGCTGCCTCAGAGCCATCAGCAAGGGCTCAACTGCTCTAACAAGGCAGGAAAGTTTGAAATCCTTACAAATGTTTACCCCATGAGGTCGAAAGGCATAACTTCGATAACAGTAATCACTACAGTAGCCGTCCAGGATGCACCGCCGGCCCTGCGCCTGGCACTGATACATCCCTGTGTTTTCAAACCGACTCTGGGACCAAGGAGGCCCCTCCCAGGGTGAGGGTAGAAGGGGGTGGGTGGGGCTCCGCCTGCCACGCAAACAGGCCACTTTTAACTATTTCATTTTTAACTATTAGTGGGCTTCTAGCTCTGTCTAAAATTTGAGACAGGATTTCCCACCACTGCATTTCCCCATTGAGTTCTTGTAACGGCCCTCAGGGTTAGCTGGTTTGTCCCCTTTAGGCAGAGGCAGAGAGAAGAAGTGTGACTATTAGGCCAGTACCATAGGCCACTGCGACATCCTAACCCTGCCACCTACTAGCTCTGTGACTCTAGGCGAGTTACTGACCCTCTCTAGGCCTCATTTTCCTCCTCTGTAAACTAGAGATATCAGAGCCAGCCTCAGAGGAGAATTAAATTCGATCGTGTTAGTCCAACAGCACAGTGCCTGCCGCATGGCGGCTGATGGTATCACTTATTCATCCATCAACAAATCTTTACTTGGGGCAAACACTGCCTATCCAACAAATCCTGATGTTGGGTCGCGTGTGTGTGGCTGTCCGCTCCCTGCCTCTGTCTTGCAGGCTCCCACCCAGCTCTGGTTGGAGGAGGGGCCAGACTTGGGCACTGGACTGCTGCCCCTTTGTCAGCCAGGCTCCCTGGGTATTCTGGGAGCAGGGAGGGGTATGAGAGCCCAACGTGCCCCATTGTACTTCAAGATGCTTGGTCCTCTCCTAGCAACCAGCAGAGCCTTTGTGGCAGGGAACGTTCAGGATGGAGGGGCCCAGCTCAGGGCCTGGTCGGGGTGGACAGCAGAGCCAGGGGCCCAGGGCCTCCAGAACCCCCACCCCTATGGGATGGAAATCGCTTTTCACGTAACACAATCCCTGGCCCCTCTCCTCCTGGCAGTCCGGCCTGGGGTACGGGCATCCAGAAATGCTCATGGCTGCAGTGCCCCCACCCCAGATTTGAGGGACCCCCATGGAGGGGGCTCCCTATATGGCAGTCATAGGGGAAAGGTTGGCCCCGAGAACCACAGCAGGGTTGTATGGGGGTGAATGTGTATATCAGAGTCCATTCTCTTCCATAGCATCAATCTACTTTGTGTTCGCTCTGCCTCAAGGTTCATATGAATTTCCATTTGAGTGTGAATAGCCACCTGACACATGCGTGTTAGTGGGTGCAGGTGCACCTAGGGGTGTATGTGTAAGTGCACATGTGGTGGGTCTACATGTGCCTGCGGATACCTGCTCATGTGGTGATGTGTGCCCTTGTGCATGCCACACCAGTGTGCAGAGTTGGTGTGTATGTGTGCGTTGTGTGTATGTATGCACAGGTGTGATTTGTGTGTATGCACGTGTGTATGTGTGTGCAGGTGCGGGTGGGCGTTTGTTTGTGCACATGCATGTATGTTTGTGTGCGCTGTAGGGCAGGGGACGGACACCCAGTCCACAGACCTGGAGTTCGTGCCCCTCGGTGCAGAGAGCAGGCCCCAGCTCCTCTCACGAGCCCCAGCTTTGCTTGGGGGCCCATCTATAAGCCCCATTCCTCCCTGAGCTTTGGTTTCCTCCACTGCAAAATGAGGTCCTCATCTTCCCCAAGGGCCATGTGGAAAAGAGGAGACAGAGGCTTTGTGAACCGGGCCCCAGGAGAGGTGGGAGGAAGCAGGAAAGCCCCAGGTAGGGGCCTGGGAGAGCTTGACCCCATCCCCTGGGAGCCTGAGGAGGTAGGCGGGGGGCTCCCGCAGCCTCAGCAGAGCCCAGGCCACACGCCTGCTTGGTTCCCTCCTCCAGCAGTGATGGCGGGGGCGGGGAACTTCCCAGGCCTGGCCCCGTAGCTATAGTGACCAAGACAAAGCGTCTCCTAGACCCCCCAGGAAGGAGTCCAGGCCCAAGTACACGTGAATCCACTTGTACAAAAGCAAAACCTGCTTGGCGAATGGGGTCTGGCTTCGGGAAGCCCTTTCACCTTGGTCTGGGGATGCGGGGGAGGGGGCAGCAGTGAACACCGTGTTCCCAAGGGCCTAGCCACCCCCAGGACCCCAGAGCACCTGCAGCCTCAGCCCCCCGCCCAGTGCAGGCAGAGCTAAGGCGTGAATGAAGGGGATGCAGGCAGACACTGGCTCCCTGGGTCTCCTCCCCCTTCTCCAACCCAGTCCTCTAGGCTGGCGTCTGCTGCCCCCACCCCGCGCCCCCAGAACACCGTTCAATCCACCTGATGACTTACACGCCACGACCGAAGCCAGGACACAGCCCACCGCACCCAGAAAGCCTCAGACACAACGCAGGCTCACGCGGTACAGCTCGTCCTAGCTCACAACTTTATTACACTGCCACCTGCACCCCACAACCCAGCACACGACTCACGACAGAACTCACAACCCAGAACTCCACTGCCCCCAAACCCCTCCCAAGACACTCAGCCTACCCCGTAACCCAGATCACAGCACACCCACAAGTCCCCTCACAAAGGCCCCGAGTTCCAGACCCACCGGCCACCACACGAGTTCCAGGGGCCCACAGCAGCACACTCCTCCGCACCCCACAACTCAGGCCTGTGCCCCAGCCCCCAGGTAGGGCCAGCACTCATAGGGCCAGCACCCATGGGGACAGCCCCAGGGCCTGGGGTGTCTACTTTGGGAGACAGACCGTAGGCCACAGGCTGCCCCAAGGCTTGTGCCCCAACTCACCGGCCAGGAGGGAGAGGGCAGAGGCCCAGAGCAGCAGCAGGAGCAAGAGGAAAGGGGCTGGGACCCTAGAGTCCTGGGTCCCAGGCCCGGCCCGCGCCATGGCAGCACGCTCTGCTCCGCGGCTATGGGAATAGGCGGCCGGGCTGGTTCCGCACCCCCTCTCCCTCCAACCAGCACTAATGCCGTGGACAGAGGCCCAGCCCTCCCTCCCTCCTCCCCCGCCTCCTCCTCCAGCCCAGGCCCTCCCAGGCTGCTCCACCTTTTAGAGGAGTTAGAGGAGGGGGCTGGCTCA